TTGTTTTTAAGAGATCCTTTCTTACCTTTTCACTAGCTACACCAGCATCTTCAAGATCTGAAACTCTGTCTTCACATTCACTTAAACAGTTTTGCAAGTTTGTGATTGAGATTTTAATTTCCTCTATATCTCTTTGACTCTGCTTCATGCGATCTATTTCTTTCCTGTATTGCTCATTCAAGGAATCCGTCATTTTTTCTAATCTCTTCTATTTTTTAATCAATGTCTTCTTTAGAAGCAGTTATAAATTCTTTTACTGTAGTGTTTTTTTTCAGATTGGGTTTCCTATGTTTCTGTAGTTGCTTCTTTACTTCAGATGCTCTGAGTTCTGAGAATTCTTTTTTTATTTCAGAAAAGAATTGTACTCTGCGTTCCTCTCTGACTTTCTGCTGTTGCTTATTTACTATTGACGCTATTAATTCATACATTTGAGCCAAGCTAGTGTCCTCTGCATTTGTTCTGGGTGGGCATTGGGTTTCCTCCATATGTTTCTGCATTTGATTCTTTACTGCAGATGCTGTTAATTCAGGGATTTCTTTTTTCATTCCAATCTGAGTTCCTCTATACCTTTCTGCAGCTGTTTCTTTATTTCAGAAGCTGTTGATTCATTGCTTTCAGCTGTGTGATTCCCAATTAGTTCTCTGTTAGTGTCCTCTGCACTTGTTTCAGGTGGGCTTGGGTTCTGAAGTTGCATTTTGTTCCTTCTCGTCATTTCGTGTAGTACTGTCTTCTGATCTTTGTTGTAGATCTTCGTTGTAGGTATAACCTTAGCACGTACTGAAGTTCAGGTGCAGCTCTACAAAGTTTGGATTTATCCAGCTGTGCCTGGCTTGGGTCTGGCTGCTGTGCTCTGCTCCTTTCTGCTGCTGCCCTTGGAGGTGAACCTGTTGTGCCCCTGTGGCAAGATTTTCTGCTCCTGGACTAGCTGGGTGGTTCTATCCTCTACAGTCTCTGCAGGGATTGGGATTGCAGCTGCAGCGTTTCACCCCAGGCCTGTATGCCAGGTCTGAGCTGAGCCTGGAGGGGACAAGGTGGAGTAGGGGGGAGAGGCAGCTCTCCTACACACTCACCAGAGCTGGGCTATGACTGGGTCTGGGGGTTCCTGGAATGTGGCAGAAATTCCTATTTGGCAGGTGGGGTGGGGGAGGTGCTGTGGAGTGGTAGGGGGCGTCCCAAGGGGGTGGAAGAGGGTCTCACCCACGCTGCGCCTGGGCTGGGACCAATAATAGGTCCCGCAGGCGCAGGGTAGCCAGAAGCTCCCCCACACACTCACCGGGCCTGGGCTAGGACTGGGTCTGGGGGTTCCCAGATCATGGCAGAACTTCCTACTGGGCAGGCGGGGTGGGGGAGGTGCTGCGGAGTGGTGGGGGGTGTCCCAAGGGGGTGAAAGATGGTCCCACTCATGCTGCGTCTGGGCTGCGACCAGTAGTAGGTCCCATCGGCGCAGGGTAGCCGGAACTTCCCCCACACACTCACTGGGCCTGGGCTAGGGCTAGGTCTCTGATTCTCTTTTGTTTTATATGACACATAGAGTCTTTTTGCTATTTATAATCCTTGGTGTTCTCTGAGCTTTCTGGATCTGTGTTTTAGTGTCACTAATATTGGAAAATTTTCAGTTTTGGCTTTAAATTTTTAAACTTTTGGTAAACTCATTGCACATGTTTCACCTTTTATAATTGTCTCACAGGTTTTAGTTATTATAATTGTCATTGTTCTAGTCATATTTTATGCTGGGATTGAATCCAGGGTCTTGCCCGTGGTGCTCTATCACAGAGGCACATCTTTAGTCCCAAATGATTACTCTTTAATGATATGTTTTAGAAACACTGCCTTGTTATGTTGCAATAGCCAGCAGAAACAGAAACATCAAAATGATACCAGCCCAGAATCAGGTTTTTAAAAAAATGTATTTAGTACCGGGTCTACAGGGTCTCACTACACAGATAGGACTCGTAGTGATCCTCCTGTTTTCATCCTCCCAAACTCTTGAGATTACAGGTGTGTGCTACCACACTCAGTCTCAGTTGTCTCAGCACGCCCCCAGGGACAGGGCTGGCACCATCCCGAGTCCCTGCATCTGCCTAAGCAGGCCACAGAACTATCTGGATGGCCCTAGAATCAGGTTTTAGTTCAGTTTAAATGTGCTTTATGAGTGGGCAGTACAAAGCTGATAGCAGGTTATTACATGATTGGCTGCATGGATACACTAATTATGTCAATATTGCCAGGCAGGCTTGTACAGGAGGGAGTCTGAGGAGAGTAGGTAGAGTAGAACGTGTCCTTGACTGGGCCAGTCTTTCCTAAGACATGATGACCTTGAAGCCCTCAAAGCAAGTTGGAATCGCTGCATATTTTTAGAACCCAAGCTGGTCAGTTTGTTTGTCTCACACATTGTTAAGGGGGACAGTCAAGGAAGGCAGTCAAGGAAGTAGGAGTACAGGCATAGACTATGAATTGATTTTTAACTTTTTTTTTTTTTTTTTTACTATCTGCCTAAAGTCTGCTATTTTCTAAGTGCGCCCTAACAATATTGCCCACTTTAGTGGTGCACAGTTCTTCTATATTCCTTGTGGGAGTCTGCAGGTTTCCCAATGAAGCCAGCACTTTCAGCTCATCTCAAAGGAGGAGAGGCTTGCCAGAGACTGTAGTAGGTAGGGCAGATACCAAGGAGAGATAGAATGAATGGACTTGTGGAGTGGCACTCTCAAAATACTAACAGTGAAATATAACATGAAATACAGTGGCACAGTGGCCTTCATAGCTTCCTTCTCTAGGTAAAACTCTGTATTAAATATTTGCATCAAATAAGGTGTAAAGGGCACAATTATAGGTAAAGGACAAGGTAAAATTGCTTAGGAAATGTCCCTGTACACCTCAGCCTTCCAGGAAGCTGGTTTATTATCATTTCATTATTTATAAAAATGTTCAATTCTGTAATATACAGCCTCAAACTCCAACAACTGAAGATTAAATGATATTTCACTGAACTAAAAAAAAAAAATCAAGATTTTCCTAGGGCTTAGGCTTTCCCCCAATCTCTAAGAATAAGGACAAATAGTGTTTCGAGAGCTTTTACTGCCTCATCATATCAGCAAGGAGAGCACCTTTTAATATATGATTTTTCTTTATTGGTCGGAGGTGTACAATTTAGTATTTTACTCTGCATGGTATCATTTCTGTTATCATTTCAGGCATGTGTGCTTTATTAGAACAATTATATGATATTCTTCTAGAAGGGAGATGTATCTCTTACGTCATCAGTGGTTCCTGGCACATCAACCAAATAGCAGAAACTCAGGAAATGGCATTTGTCGACTAATTCATTGAAGTACTTAGTAAGGAGCTTACAATGAGTGGTAGTGTGTGTCCTTCCTCCCTTCAGCTCTTAGTTTTTTGGTGTTGTTTGCCGAAGTAATTTTAGATGAATCAAATGTTCAAGTTTTTGCACGTTGGCAAACTTACATATAACATCGAAGTGTTTTATATTTTCTCTAGATTTCTTTTAAATTTCCAAAAGATGTTTCCACTAGAGAGGGTGGGGTAGCTAGAATCTGTAGTTTAGTATCCACATGTGTGTGAACAGGGAGAGACAGGAAGGGGAGGGCTTTTCTTCTTAACTGTGTCAGCCTATGCCATTTCCATCTTCAAAGCAGCACACAGCCGGGCTAATTGTTCCTCTGGAAACTTTGGCAGAGGCCGAGCGGCCCATCGTTCTTTGCTTGCTTGCCTTTATTTTTAGTTAGATGAGGAACTACCTGCTTAGGTTTCTGCAAGTTGGATTCTTCAGCAGGAAAATTCTTGTCCTTTAGAATATTGACATCCACTTCAAAACGTCGGGAAGCGGTCTCCCATTTGCTGCTGAGAGACTCTGTGTCTTCAGTCTTTGTGGCCTGGGTCTGAAAACAGTTTTTCCTCTTGTGGCCTTTGAAAGGTGAAAAACTTCCCACTGGCTTCTGAGGCTCACACTGGAGCCAGTCTGCGGTGTTTGTCGTCAGACTCTTTGGAGTTATGAAAAGGGAATTTCTTGGTGTTGTCCACGATGTGCTGTATCTCTTTATATCTATGCAAGATGCTTGCTTTATACTAGAAAAGAAATAAACAATATGAGTTTTGACCCAGCATTGCCTACTTTCTCCTCTGAGGTATCTATTGTGGTAGTACAAATCAGACATGTTTTGTTTTGGGGAGTTCACTGTCCTTAAAACTTTTCTCATCATCTCTGTATGAATGAGCTAGGTCTTTATGCTGTCATTGTTTGCAACCGTGTCCCAGCCCTGTATTTCCAAGTTCCTGGAGGATATGTTTACCTGGATAAGTTCCTGGACCATGATTGTCCTCCTAGGATGGCCGCTCTCAGCCTGTGCACCTTACCTGTCTATCTAGTAGAATTACAAGTTCTCTAAAACTCCACTTTGCCCTAAATCTATACCCTGTTTATTTTATTAGCATAGCATCATTATGTTTATGTTATGCATTTAAACATTTTTTAATGTATTTAGTACATGTTCTACAGGGTCTCACTACACAGATAAGACTCAGTTATCTTCTTGTTTTTAGCCTCCCAAGCACTGGGATTGAGTGCGCGTGCCACCATGCCCAGTCTCAATCGCAGTTTCAGAGTGCCCCGGGGGGTGGGGTTGACAATGGCATGGTTAAAATTTCTCATTTGGTGTCAGGTGTGGTGGTGCATGCCTGGCCTCCCAGCACTAGGGAGGCTGATGCTGGAGGAGAATTCAAGGGCAGCCTGGGCTACATAGTGAGATCATGCTTCAAAAAATTTGTTTTTTCCATTTGCTTCATTTTAACATCTCTCTCAAGAAAGTTTTCTATTTTTTCACTTGTTTCGAGTGTTTTTCATGAAACATTTTTATTATGACTGCTTTAAAAATCTCTGTTAGAAAATTCTAATATCACTATCACGTCAGCACTTGAAACTATGAGTTCTCTTTTTAACATTATTTTGAGATCTTCCTGGCATTTAATAAGATGACTTACTGCTGATTAAAATGGGCATTTTTATACTATGAGGTTCTGGTTTTTATTTGAACCTTCTGTCGTGGCCAGCTTTTTGTGTTTCTGCTCCGAAAGAGAGCTAGGAGAGTAAGACCAGATGGAAGTAGAAATCCAGGGTTCCTGCTCGCACTCTATGAACACCGAGTGCAGGAGCCCTAATCACTGCCAGACAAGGCGAGAGTCGCCTCTCTTTATGCACCGTGGCCACGCACACCTACAGGAGCGCTTGTGGATTGTCTTCTCCAGGCACAACTTGCCCATCACTGAGTTTTTCTCTAGATCCACAAAGGTGGATTTCAACAGCCACGTAAGTACCTATGGATAGGTAACTGTGGCGCCTCTACCCAATGGCATGATCACCAATCAGATTGTCTTCCCCTACAATTCGGAGTTGGGAATGAGAAAGAGCGAGTAGTCAGAGAGGTGCTGGATGTAACCTTGTGAGCTGAGGGGTGAGAACACTTCACAGAGAGAAAACCAGACTGTAGGTGGCTAAAATGCTCTGATGGTTTCCTACTCCCCAGTTCTAGTGCTTTCCTGAAGGCTGACTGAATACCTGCTCCTCCAGTTTCCACGAATGCCTCACACTCTTACAGCTCTTTACTCCTTACCTTCTGCTCTTTGACTAAGCTCATTGGAAGTGGTTGTTTTTTTTTTTTTTCAAAGTTTTATTGATAAACAGATAGCAATGAGACAGTTTCAAATCCAAACGGAAGTA